ATTTTGGTGGTATTTATTCACTGCTTGGATTTTTATTTTTTTTGCTATATAAATGAAAAAGTTCGAAAATTTTGAAAAAAGTGTTTTTCTTATAAAATTTAGCAAATAAATAATATTTCATCATAAATCTTGGCCAACATTTATTCCATTATCTTTTTAGTAAAAAAACAAAAAATATGCCAAATTAGTTTATAACCAAAAATTATAATTTTTAAACTTTTATTTTACCTTTTTTATTTTTTTTTTTTTATATATTATTATTTATGTTTTGTTTTTTGTTTTTTTTTACATACCGTCACCCTAGCAGTACCGTGTCACCATGGTGACACTGCACTACTTGTGGGGGGGTGATGAAGATTTTTTTTTTTTTTACAGTGATTGCTTTTACACCCATATAGGATGTAAAAGCAATCATTTCTCTTTCTCTCTGGCAGTATTCTTGCAGCCATTGAGAAATATTGTGTGAGCTGTGATTGGTCAGAGCTTGTCACATGGTACAAGGCTGTTGTGAATAGCCTTGTACCATGTGACCTCTGTGATCATTCACAGATTTCACACGTAGTAAGCATTGATGTCACAAGTGACATTTTGCGTACTACTTTGCATGTGATCACTGATTGGCCAATCAGTGATCACATGATCGGGACCTCGTACAGAGGTCCCGTCCGACGATCGGTGTTTCACTGTGTCCGGAGGACACAGCGGGCACCAGATCATGGTGCTGCGCGCTCCCAGGGAGCGTGCACAACTAGAAATAGCGGGTGCCGTTTATGAACGGCAACCCGCCCCTGAAGTGCCACCGCCCTGCCATTTAAAAACATCAGGCGGACGGCAAGTGGTTAAAATGTTTATTAAAACTGCAAAACATATGCACTTACAATGTTCCGCATCTCCACTAACACAAGTGAAACAGACATGAATCTTGAGTACTGTTATCCCCGGCATGTAGAAACGAGATTAGGATGTATTGGAATCACAATAGTAACACATTTCAACAAATATGAAATTAATTGTAAGGAAACAAGACATATATTTTATTAATTTGTTTCATTTGAATGACATGATGCAATAGTTTGGGACTTTTTTAATGTTTGAAGCATCTGAAATAATGTGACAACATAACAAATGATACAAATTGATTATGATCCATTTCATTTTTATTTTGCATTAACATGTTTTATTACTATACAAAATGCACTACATATGAAATGGAAACATATTTCTATAAATACAGTAAGGAAGTAAGATGATGATTCCTACTTATTGTGCTTGGGTTGGATGGAAGTGGATCCATCAGACTCTCTGAATCATAACATAATGAATGAATCCAAAATGTGTTTTGTTCCATTCGTTCTTTCAGATGCATGCAGATCCAGTCATTATCAGCTAATTCCATTTCTCTCTTTGTGGGTTGGACTAGCAGGGATGACAAACTAACCGATTAAAACAAATATAGCCAATGTTCCAAAACAACTTCCGAAAATATGAATCGATATGGAACAAGAATATGTAACGAATCAGAACATATAAAATGAATCTGAAGATACGAAACAAATCCAAATATAAGAAACAAATTCCGAAAACGAATCATTTTGGCATTATGAATATGATGAACAAAATGATTTACTTAATGAATCCGAAATTAAATACATTTTTCTGTTGTGCACATCTCAATATAATCTTACATTTTAGGTGGCATTCAGGGGATGGAAAAAGAGGGCTGAAGCAAAAGCTTTAATTCATTGGTTCACTGGAACATTGTCTGTGGACAACCTGAATGAAAGTGAATGGGGGATTCTTGAGCTCTCCCTTAGGAAGTGCCATTTACTGAGAGCCAAGGGAGGCACTCACACTTTTAAATAAATTTCCTGCTAGGTTTGGAGGTATAAATGTGGATTCCTAACATCACATAAACACATGCAAAGGTGTATTGAGACCGGAGGATGTACAGTATATGGACACTCTGTCCTGGGTGCAGCTGAGATCCCTTACTCCGCTATAGCTGTCAGACAGCCCAGTGGCTGAGGAGTTTTGTAGCTGAGTTGGTATAGCGTAATGGTGATTCAGACACTAGTTCCCTATCAAGTAAAATGCTCTTGTAACTGACGGCAGACAGTGAGTGGATTTCACAGCCAATAAACAGCCTGCTATTAACTATGAACTGAACTGAAGGGGAACTTGTCCCTCAGCTTCATCATCCAGGTTCCACCCACTGTCAGCATCACTGATTGTTAGGAGCCCGTGGGCTGTGGAACCAGCAGCATACTTGACAATCAATGAGACGTAGGGAGGGAATGGTCTACTGGGGAAAACTTGCTCCCCTGCTACACAGCATGCAGAGATAGGCACGCTGCCTGTCTCTGTGTTCCATCTTAGAGTTGATCTTAATTACCTCCAGATTTGTAATCTATGAAATGGAGGCAATTTATTTTGAATTTAGTGCAGCCATAGTGCCACTTTTTAAAAGTAGCGCTATTGAAAACTACCTTAATCTGTTGCACGTGCCCAAAAATTTGCAGGAACTTTTGAATGTGGTGCAGGCCATTTTAAAAGGCCATACCACTAGAAAAGTGATTTAAAGTGGAAGTAAATAATAAATAATAATTTATAATAAAGCTTACTTGTAGGTAACATAAATATCTCCTAAACTTGCACCGTTTAGGGGCTATTCACTCATTTTGATAGCAAGCTCATGTGCTCGGAAGGAATGTCATACCCATGCTATTCCTTCAGAGCAATGTGCCATGGCCCAGGACTTCCACGCACATGCAAGAGAGTGACATCATCAAGGCTCGGCCAGTCAGATGGCCGGAGCTTGCAAACCCAGAAGGAAAACCGGGTGAAGATGGAAGTCTCTGCAGCGGGGACAGCATTCAGCTAGAGGCCTTCACTATACGTTAAGCTCTGCATAATGTGCTAGTATGTGATGCCTTGCAAGGGATTTTTAATTTGTTTTTTTCAAGCTGCAATTTACTACCGCTTTGAGTGTTTTCTTGCATTCTTCTGACAATGAGTATGCAACATTAACTATAAAGACATCTTTTGGGCTGCAGTCTTAACAAATGATGGTGAATAATTGTGTATCCAGAGCCATTTTTTCTAGTTTTTAATGGTGTGAAAGGGTTAGAATTTTTTCAAGCTTTCATTGCTAAGCAGATTATCTCAATTTGTCCTGGTGACTAAAGTGATGGAAAAGCCAACACTGTACAGTCATCATGGAAACAGTAGGTGGGAGAAAACTTTGAATGGGAACATCTATTATGTTGACAGCTGTCTAAGAGGGGATTCCCCTGACTTTATGGAGAACTTTTATTTCCTGCAGTATCTTTACCACAGGAAGTCAAAGCGAATCTCCCTACTAGGGCAAAGACGGCAAAGGACAAAAAATACTTCCTGTTGCGTCTTCACTACAGGAAGTGATGGCGTATCTCCCCAATAGGTTACATAAAGCAAAAAAAAAAAAGAAACTGACAAGAGTTTAAACCATTCCTGACTCTACCCACAACTACAAAAAATGTACATTTTAGATATACTATAAACACTAATGTTACAATAATTGCTGCATTCATGCACAAACAAATCTCTATAGCCAAGGGGTAAGTTGATGCAAAATTACAAGTGGCAGCTAAATTTTGATGGCAGTTGTGACACAAACACACACAAACCATATATATATATATATATATATATATATATATATATATATATATATATACACACACACACATACTGCAAAAGCTACATTCCTGGGACCATACAGGCGCAGTACAGCAAACGATAATTCTACATGGCAGTCATGACTTAGTGGCACTAGGAGGTCCTTTTTTCAACTCACTGACGCTTCACAAGAAACACCTAAATTCACCTAGTATAAAAATTCCACAAAATACAACACAAAAATTATGTTGACTATTATCTGCTGGATTTTTTCTAGATTTATTTTTCACTATTTAGTTTTTGTTTGTTTTCTATTAAAACACCATTTACAAATACCTTGTGTTTGCATTAGATAATTAATGAATTACTATGTATTTATGTGAATTTGCCAATTCTCATAAGAAAAACTGAAACAGTCTCCATTAACTTCAATGTAATAGACAATACACTTAAATCTGCAGAGAAATTAATGACTAGTAAATTAAAAGAACAGCAGGAGGCACTTTCAAATAGGAGATACAGTATATAAGTGCTCTTATCATGCCAGTAGGTTGGAGAATTGGTATATTTATTTAATTTGTTGTTGATGACCCAATAGTTATTGAAATGCTAAATTCTACTTCTCAATTATCTTATTGTACTTCTTTTATTATGATACTCTATATAGATGCATGAACCCAGTCAACATAATTAGTTGTAGGCAATTACGACCATATCACATTTTAATATTACTGGTTCACAGAGCAGAAAAACTTCAGCCGATTGGTCCATTTAATCTGGCCATTTCATGTATTAATGGGTTCATTCCAGGAGCACGGCGTATTCCAATTATATTAAAATAATGTATTTGTTTTCTCTAATGAATATTTATTTGCAGTAAATTAGTTCTACAGCCATTTAAAGACAAATCCCATCACCTGATTGGTCAGCACCCCACCCCAGGTTTGTAGGGGTTTTTTTTTAATACAAAGGCAATGCATGTACCAGTATACACAAGTAAATAATATCATATTTAAAATTAGTACATAGTACCTTTCACTTATGCTCAGTATATAACATGTCATATTTTATATACAGTAGACGTTTATATCACTTCTGTACTGTGAAATTACCCAAAGATCTCATAATTGTGCCAGCCTATGTGTGCATGGACACATAGGCTGGCACAAAAGCATGTTTACAGGCTGAAAATAAAATGAAAACACCTGTAAATGCAGCATTGTGCTTGAGCCTTAAAACTTAAAAAAATTCTAAAAAAAAAAGTACCTGGTATTTTTCTTACATAATTAATGGAAATGTCCAACACTACCTTTATTAAAGTGTTACTAAACCCAGGACCCCACATTCACTATATCTGGTCTCCCACAGTACACAGAACATGGAAGTGCAATTATTTTAGTAAATATAAACTGCTAAATACCTTCTCATCAGCAGTATATAGCAGTCGTGTGACTTCAGCAGAGCACTGGTTAAAGCTTGTAGGAGTTTTTCATTCATTCTGCTGTAGGAGGATGCAAAATCCCTGATCTGAACAGTGCTGGTTGGCCCTGTGATGATCACATGCACTCTCCCAAGAGAAAAAAAAACTATACAATACACACTAAACTGAGCATGTGGCTATTATTATTATTTATTTATTTCAGGTACTTATATAGCACCTTTACACAGCGCTTTACATATATATTGTACTATCACATCAGTCCCTAACCCTCAAGGGGTATACAATCTAAGGTCCCTAACTCACATTCATACACACACATACTAGGGCCAATTTAGACAGGATCCAATTAACCTACCTGCATGTCTTTGGAGTGTGGGAGGAAACCCATGCAGGCACAGGGAGAACATGAAAACTCCAGGCAGGTGGTTCCATGGTTGGGATTTGAACCAACAACCCTAGTACTGCCAGGTGGAAGTGCTAACCACTAAGCCAGTCTGTCTTATCAGGAGAAAAGACCTGGACAAATGAACAGGAGGTGGGGATCAAATGGCCTTTTTACACAATGCAGAGGAATAACCTATTAGGTTCCACAGTGAGTATAACAAGCATGCTTTACTGCATATACAGACGGATTTTACTGTTGTGTGTTTAGTAACACTTTTAGGTCTATGAAGGCAGGCTTCAGATTTGTGTTGCTGGCATCAGCTAGCAAAGAGAAAAAACATGTAGTTTATTAAAAGAGGAAAAGTTGTGCTGATTTCAATCATCCAATCATGTGCAAACAAAAATCTTGGTTTTTTTTATATTATTTTACTTGCACATGATTGTTTTTTTTTTTTGCAAAGTAAATTTTCACTTTCTATCACCTGATTCAGCAAGAAAAGTGAAAATGTAAAAAAAAACGTTTGAACATGGACATGCTCTAGCCCTTTAGAATATTAACTCCTTTGTGTTTAAAATGAATAACAACTCATCTGCCTATTAAATGGAGTATTTGACACTAAGAGGCTGCTTTACAAGCATTGTACATCCAATTTATGTAGTCTGTGAGGTGTTAGTGTAGGACTCAACAGACATGAGGTCCCTGGACTTGGGAAGTAAGCTTACATATTTTGGCCTAAATACAGACTAATACCCTATGATTTGCATGTTTTGGTCTTTTGGGGAGCAAGTGAAAAGATGCCTTTAAAAGACATTCCGACCTACTTGTTTAATGAATGGTATATAGTATAGATTCCCTTTAACCACTTCCATACATGCATTTTTACCCCCTCCCTGCCCAGGCCAATTTTCAGCTTTCAGCGCTGTCACACTTTGAATGACAATTACTCAGTCATGCAACGCTGTACCCAAATATTTTTTAATTTCTTATTTTTAGACAGATAGAACTTTCTTTTGGTGGTATTTAATCACTACTGGGCTTTTTATTGTTTGTGACATAAGCGAAAAAATACTGAAAATTTTGGGGGAAAATATGTTTTTCTTTGTTTCTATTATAATATGTTGAAAATAAGTAGTTTTTCTTCATAAATTTATGCCCAGATTTATACTGCAACCTATCTTTGGTAAACAAAATATCCCAAATTGGTGTATATTATTTAGTCTGTGCAAAAGTTATAGAGTCTACAATCTATGGTACATATCATTAAATATTGATCAATCCTGATGTACTGATGGCCTATCTAATTTCTTGAGTCACTAAAATGCCAGGATATTGCAAATACCCCCAAATTACCACTTTTTGGAAAGTAGACAGTCCAAAGTATTTAGTAAAAGGTATGGAAAGTTCCTTGACATATTTTTTTCCCACAATTCTTTGCAAAAATGAGGAAATTAAATAAAATGTGTTTTGTTTTTTACAAAATTGTCATTTGTCAAGTTATTTCTCACAAACGGTATAGGCAAACTTGAAACTACACCCCAAAACACATGCTGGTACTCCTCCTGAGTATGGGGATACCACATGTGTGTTACTTTTTCACAGCCTAGCCACATAGGCCCCAAATCCAAGGAGTACCCTGGGGAATTCTAGATGCATGATAGCCTGCACTGATTACTGCAGTGACAGGTACACTGATAGGTTGCATTGATGAGCTGCTGTGACAGGTACATTGATAGGCTGCACAGATGGGCTGTTGTGACAAGTACACTGAGATGCTGCACTGATGGGCTGCTGTGATAAGTACACTGATAGGCTGCACCAATGGACTGCATTGACAGGTACACTGATAGGCTGCACTGATGACTGTGGTGATAGGTACACTGATTAGGGCTGTACTGATGGACTGCAGTGACAGGTACACTGATAGGGTGCACTGACGGCTGCTGCTGTGACAAGTACACTGATTAGGGCTGCACTGATGGACTGTGGTGACAGGTACACTGATAGGCTGCACTGATGGACTGTGGTGATAGGTACACTGATTAGGGCTGCACTGATGGACTGCGGTGACAGGTACACTGATAGGCTGCACTGATGGCTGCTGCTGTGACAGGTACACTGATTAGTGCTGCACTGATGACTGCGGTGATGGGTACACTGATTAGGTCTGCACTGATGGCTGCTGCTGTGACAGATACACTGATTAGGGCTGCACTGATGACTGCGGTGACAGGCACACTGATTAGGGCTGCAGTGATGACTGCGGTGACAGGAACACTGATAGGCTGCACTGATGGACTGTGGTGATAGGTACACTGATTAGGGCAGCATTGATGGACTGCGGTGACAGGTACACTGATAGGCTGCACTGATGGCTGTGGTAACATGTACATTGATTAGGGCTGCAATGATGACTCCAGTGATGGGTACACTGATTAGGGCTTCAGTGACAGGAACACTGATAGGCTGCACTGAAGGGCTGCAGTGACAGGTGTGCTGATAGGTTGCACTGATGGCTGCAGTGACAGGTACACTGATTTAGGCTGCACTGATGGGCTGCTGTGACAGGTATTCTGAAAGGCTGCACTGTTGGCTGCTGTGACAGGTACACTGATAGGCTGCACTAATGGCTGCTGTGACAGGTACACTGATAGGCTTTACTGATGGGCTGCTGTGACAGATACACTGATAGGCTGCACTGATTACTGCAGTGATGGGTACACTGATTAGGTCTGTACTGATGGCGGTTGCTGTGACAGGTACACTGATTAGCTCTCCACTGATGGCTCCTGCTGTGACAGGTACACTGATTAGAGCTGCACTGATGACTGCGGTGATGGGTACACTGATTAGGGCTGCACTGATGGCTGCTGCTGTGACAGGTACACTGATTAGGGCTGCACTGCTGACTGCGGTGATGGGTACACTGATTAGGGCTGCACTGATGACTGCGGTGATGGGTACATTGATTAGAGCTGCACTGATGGCTGCTGCTGTGACAGGTACACTGATTAGGGCTGCACTGATAGCTGCTGCTGTGACAAATCCTCTTTTATTACTGTGCTGATCAGTCAATCAGGGCACAGTGTTGAAAGGGTTAAAAGCGGTAAATCCTTATTTCTGTGTTCTCACACAGGATCTTACTGCTGTTTGTTGATATCACATAATAGGCCACCCGGAGGCACGAAAGGCCCACAAGGCCTTGTTGGATGTTGTTAATGCAATCAAGTGCAGATGAAATAAATAAATAAACAGTAATTTGGTTTTACATGATTGGATAATTATAATCACATGATTTATTGCTTGAAGATTCTCAATAAATTTAGTAAATCAGCCTCATTATGTGTTGTCTTAGCCACCAATGAAATTCTACTGTTATGGCATTTTAGATTTGAAAGCCTTAATCTGATTGGTGACTTTGGGGCTCTTGTATGTGGTGATTTTAAAAGTCATGCTAAGCTGCATATTTTAAAGTTACTGAAATAACTGCTGATGTCACCCTATTAACCAGAATATTTAATTTGCAAAATATGTGATGAAAATGGCAGATGGATTTTGACTGGTCATCATAAGAGAACTTGATTTTACTTTTTCCAGATTGGGGTCATGGCCATGGCCATATTACATCAATGACATCACCCAGGAAAACCCACCTCTTTGTCTACATTTGGTGACCGGATTATAAGGTGTAATTCACCACGATTGTAGGGATCAGGCCCATTCACTTTTTTTAAAAGTGCGATTCACACGTTTCCTTGTGTCACACATAGGGTAGCCCATTAACTTGGGTCTCCACCTCCTCATAAGCACTGGGTGGCCTATAACATACTCCAATGATTAACTTTATAGTATGCACACCCATGGGCAATTCCACTCATAATGTTTCAGCCTCCTCACACTCTCCACCAACTAGGACCTCTTTCACACTGCTTTGAGATCATTCTGACATAGAGACGGACACCACCTTATTTACGTTTCCCCCGTCTCTCTGAAACAGAGCATAGCCAGGAAAAATAATAATCCAGTAATGTGAAGAATTAAGCCATGATTCTGCAATATCAATAAATCATTGTTCCCTTCCTGTTCCAAAGCTTGCAACTCATCTATTTTGCTTGTCAGACTTCTGGCATTAGTGAACAAACACTTTTATTCATTGTCACATTTTGCACACACAGTTTGCATATTTTTTTTGTAGTGCAAATAGTACCATTTTCAATGGTTGTTTTTAAGATGGGAACCATCTTATCACCTGCCCCCTTACAGGTAAAAAAGGATTACTGATTCCAATAGGCCCCCCAGCCACAGACCTCCACAACCCTGAGGATGGGCCCTTGTTTTTATCAATATAAGGTACCTTTCCCCCTCATGTTGAGAGAATGTGGCCTGGAATGGTTCAAGAGGGGAGCACATGCTCATCCCCCCTCCCCTTTTCTAGCTTGTCAGGTTAGATGTTCAGATAAGGGTCTGGTATGGACTTTTTACATTTTTCTTTTTTTCCACGTGTTCCCCCTTGACAACCATACCTGACCCTTTAAGGATAAGGGTTTGGTATGTATTTTTTAATGGGAACCACAAGTAATTTTTTTTTAGTGAGTTCCCTTATCTACATCTATGTGAGATTCTTATCTAGGATAAGAGTCTGCTATAGATTAAGGGAATTAAATAGAGAAGGACGTGGCCAATGCTGTAATTTACTGGCCATTTAAATGGTACTTTTTCATTTGAAATGTCAGTCTTGCTGTAGTAGGTTGTATACATGGATTATTGTGTACATACAGATGTGCTACTTTATAGATAGGTTAACGGCACCCCCAGACATACTGTTTGAAGGAATTTAACATGTTTGATGTTTCACTTTCAACATTAATACAATTGCTGCTCCCAGCCAAACTGGATTTTTTTTTTTGTTTGGTACTTGTTGAAGATGGACATTACTGTATTTTATGTTTCAATATTTTTATTGAGTTTTCAAGGATAAACATGGAAGAACAGGGAAAAACAGGGAAAAGAGAAAAGGTTAAATCATACAACATTACAGTAGGCAAATATGGTTGATCAATTTGTTGTAGATCTGCTCTCTGGACAGATGGAGTATTAGTCTTGTTTAGCAACTTCATCAGAGGTATTCGTGTGTTTTTGAAGGGCCTTGGTGAGGAGTTAGGGGAATTAGGGGGAGGATGGTGGTGGGGAGGTGGGGGGGGAGTAGGGTGGGGAGGGAGGAATATAGCTGGGGAATAAAGTTGATACCAGTCTAAGTGCGGGTGTGAGTT